AGCTGGCAGCAGATTCGGATAGTGAGGAGGTTGGGGAGGAACATGGGCCAGTCCTGGAGTCTGGGGAAGGCTCTGATGAGGGCTCTGTGTTGGAAGCAGAGAGGGGGCCAGGGCCGTATGCCAGTTATCAGCTGCCTTCAGAGTCAGACATACAAGTTATTGTTGTGGCCCGCCAGCGGGCAGCAGAGCTGGCAGCAGATTCGGACAGTGAGGAGGTTGGGGAGGAACATGGGCCAGTGCCAGAGTCTGGGGAAGGCTCAGATGAGGGCTCTGTGTTGGAGGCAGAGAGGGGGGCAAAGCCATCTGGTAGTTATTTGCTGCCTCCAGAGCCCGATGTCAGCAAGGGAGAAGAACAGCGGGAGCCTGTTCCCAATGTGTGCATGTGCAGAGCTGCCAGAGGGCAAGAACAATTAAGAAAACAGGGTCAACTTGGGAGTAAGGCTTGGAGATGATTAGCCCCTCACATAAGACATAAAAGAGAAGCGAACGGAACATGAGCTTTTGCAGGAAGCAATTAGTTCATCTGCTCGGTTCAAGCTTTGAGAACTTCTGTTTGACTCTGTGCTAAGTTTGGCCTTGCTCTGCATTTGGCAATTAGGTCTCTGGCAGCATTCCCAGGGAGATAAGGTGGGTGTTTATTAACATTCCCCCTGTAAGACTGTGGCAATTCGAGCAGACATCTGCCGGAAACTTCACAGACTGTTTGTGAAGCCTTGTGGACTGTGAATGACCATAATTCACAGCCGTATAAATAAAAGAAGGTTTTGAGGACTAAGATGGTGATTTATGCTTTCTCAGGAAGCCTAGGTCAGAACAGTAATATTTCAAATATTGCTGCAACACATTCCCCAGAGCCTATCATTATGGTCCATGCTGGCCATATGTTGCTGGTCCCAGTTCAGCAACATTTGGAGAACAAGTGACATTCCTAAGGTTCTACTAACTTCTATGAAATGAAGAAGAAAATAGAGGACTTGAAATCTAGGGGAGATAAAAGATGCCAGAATATATCTCAGTTCCTCCATCCTGGTCTATTCAAGAACCGTTAATGCTGGACCAAAGATGAAACGCATTTCAAGGACAGCCTCCTGAGGGCCATCAGACTCTTACCGAATGGTCACCATCACATCCATCAGTTTGTCCGTGGTAATTGTTCCAAGCACGTGGTGACGAATTGCAGTCAAGGTCAAGATACTTGGAGCGGACCTGGATCAACAACCCAACCAAAAAGTGGAATTAGAAGAAAAACCTACTCTCAAGTGTTGGCTCCCATCACACTTTGGATACAAGAAGCCCAAATGACCTTATTGTCAGGAAACCTTTTGAAACTTCTGCAGCCTACCGTATTTTTCGGAGTATAAGACACACCCTGCAGCCTGAAACAGCTGATCATTGGGAAGCCGTGCTTAAACTGAAATGGAAAGTGGTATTTGCTGTTTGCTGCAAATGAGACAAATTGCTGGGAGGCAGATTTTTCCCCCCCTTGTTTTTCTCTCCAAAAGCTAGGTGCGTCTTATACTTCGGAGCATCTTATACTCTGAAAAATATGGTAAATGGTTCACAACAACCCCTACAGGTTACAGAAATTTAGAAAGGTAAATGTAGTTCACTACAGTTGGGTCACAAGTCTAAAAAAATGGAAAAAGACTGATACAGCTTATCAAAGTTTATCCATAAAATGTCAGCCTGGGTGGACCTACGTTATTCATAAAATTGTGGCCAAGGTGAGCACGGCTAATTACAAAGGGCCCATTTCCCCACAAGGCAAGTTGGCCTCTCCCACCTTCTCAACCGGAAAGGTTTTGAGACCCACAAAGAAGCAATTGTCTCTCATCTGCACAAGCAACCCTCAAATCGCTTCCTTTGGACTCCTGATGGACACCGTCCAAAATATTTCCCCATCAACCATGCTTACGTGTCGTAGGTGTAGTATTCGTGTTCAAATCGGTGGCAGGAGCGGGGTGTTACTTCATACACACCTGGAGAGGATGAACAAAACACTTCCTCGTATTTCAAAACCGTTCAAGCTCGCGAGAAGCTGGCAAAGGAGTTGGACTAGTTTTTAAAAATGCACAAGTAGAGGCCGTGGGAAGGAAATTCTTCAAAGGCTCTGCCTTAACTGGCATGCTATTAAGTCTGCTGAGAACTTTTTTTCCCCAGCTTTCAAGGTTTATATTTTTACCTTAACCGTTTCTGAAATCCACACGGTTCTTGAGTTTTGTCAGCTACACAAAGACGGGGTCAACTGTCCAACTAACAAGCAAACACTCTCAGGAGGTTTGAATTCCCAAACGTTAAAACTTTATTGGGTACACCATTTTGGTACTAAAGAAACAAAACCAGCTCTGGTTTTCCCGCGCAAATCCTCACCTGGTTAAACAAGAGTTTCCCCTTCTCCCCAACCCTGGGTGAGCACACTGTCCAATAATGAGACGTCCTTTTGTTATGGGAGCAGTCCATCTCCTTCTCAAGCACCTGCAGCGGTGACCTTGATGGCTTCCATGCTCCCACGACCGCCACATACCTTCTCAGCATTCCATTTCCCCCTTCCCTCCCTACCCCCACCCGTTCTTTGGCAACTTGAAAGCATTAGGTTTTGAAAAGAAGCCAAGCGGTTCACCACTATTTCCAAACTATTTCAACCCACAGGTTCTTCTGCTGTGTTCTGATTATTAAATATGCCTCGTTCATCCAGATATTGCATCAAATGATAATTACTCCAATCCAAGTTTGCCCAAAAACCTACACCCCTATTTCTTTGGGGTTAAGAAAAACAGAAGGTCTTCTGCCTTTTCTTCTTGACCTCAACTCCTTTCTACCCAACTGTCATCTTAAACCAGGGGTCAGCAACCATAAACACTTGAAGAGCCACAAAGGTCCTAATCGGAAGCCCTCCATTCAATTCTGGAGCCGACCAGATGTCCGGTTCCCCCCACCATAGAGTCTCCTCCTAGCTCAGTGTCCTTTTTCCTCTACGTGTCTTAACCAAAAGCCCTATCAATTGTGGAGCTGACTGGCGACAGGGAGCCACAGCAGAGGGATGAAAGAGCCACATGCAGCTCCAGAGCTGCAAGTTGCCAACCCTTGATGAAGTCATCAACCCTTGATGAAGTCATCAAGTCAACTTCAACAACGTATGGATCAACTCACTTTTTCTCTGATCTGGTTCGGGCAGCTCCCAAACCAGAATATCTACTGAATTAATCAGAAATGGCCAGCTCTCACATTACACACACACACAGTCAAAATATCACAAACCAAACTGTGCTTTAGGAGTATAAAAGGTGTGCCTTTCATTTTTATGACCTTCTGACTTGACATATTTTATCTCTAAAAATATCTTCTTCATCTCCAAAATGTGATGCAAGGAAACTTATTTTGTTTTCAACTTGTCCCCCCTAAGGATTCCTACCTGGCTTGGAGAGGCAGAACCTGTTCACACCTTTGGATAGGTTGTAAACACCAACATTTTCCAGTCCGTTTCCATCTTGGTAGAATTCCTAAAAAGCATTAAAATCCCGGTCAAAAGATGGAGAGAAGAAATAAGCTGAAGTCCTAAGCCAGAAGACATTCATGTACAGGCAGTCCTTGACTTACAATCGAGCCCCAAATTCCTGTCGCTAAGTGAAACATGTATTAAGTGAACTGTGCCCCATTTTACGACCTTTCCTGCCACCGAGGTTCAGCGAATCGTTGAAAGTCATTAAGTTAGTTACGTGGTTTTTTAAAATGAATTTGGCTTCCCAAATGTGACTTTGCTGGTCAGGAGATCACATGGTCCCAGGACTCCACAATCATCATGAGTCACGAGTTGCTAAGTGTCTGAATTTTGATCACATGACCACGGGGAATGCTGCAGTGGTCGTTAAGTGTGAAAAATGGTCGTAGGCCAAAGTTCCGTTGTAACTTTGAAGAGTCACTAAACAAACTACAGCAGTCTTCCAATATCTCAGGGGCTGCCACAAAGAAGAGGAAGTCAAACTATTCTCCAAAGCCCCCGAGGGCAGGACAAGAAGCAATGGATGGAAACTAATCGAGGAGAGAAGCAACTTAGAACGAAGGAGAAATTTCCTGACAGTTAGAACAATGAATCAGTGGAACAGCTTGCCTCCAGAAGTTGTGAATGCCCCAACATTGGAACTCTTTAAGAAAACATTGGATAACCATTTGTCTGAAGCGGTGTAGGGTTTCCAATCTGGGTAGGGGGTTGGACTAGAAGACCTCCAAGGTCCCTTCCAACTCTGCTATTCTATTCTATTCTAAACTTTTTGTAAGTAGAGGTTGGTAAGAAGAAGCCTGCAGTACTGCGCTCTAACCACTGCGCCCCCAAGGCTCATGAACGGTTACATGCGTTCCATGGATTTGATTTGGTTACCTACCAAAGTAATGGCGTGGGAAAGAGAACATCGCAGCATATAACCCGTTTGACGGAATTCGATGCCCGATACATCCTCTTCCACAACTTCTATCTCCAAGGATTTATTCTTCCAACACCAGTCTTCTTGGATGATGCTCACTTGAAATTAAGAAAAAAAAATTGGATCGTGGAAAGATAGAAGCCTCACTAACCAGCTTGGTTTCTAAGTACTGTATTTTTCGGACTATAAGATGCACTGGAGTATAAGACGCACCATGATTTTGAAGAGGCAAATTTTTTTAAAAAAGGTTTTTCACTCTGCAGGCTTCCCAAACCCTCTGCATGCCTCGTTTTTTGCAACAAAAAAAGGAGGGGAGGGGCATGCAGAGCTTTGGGAGTCTTTTAGAGTGCTCCTGGGGGCTGGGGGTGGGTGGGAAACGAGCAAAAAACAGCCTGTTTTTTTGCAAAAACTGGGCAGGGTTTTTGGGGGGAAAGGGGGCATGCAGAGGCTTTGAGAGGCTTTGAGAGGCTTGTAGAGTGCTCCTGGGGCTGTGGGGGGCAAAAACAACCTGTTTTTTAAAAATCATTTTTGCCCTCCCCAGCTCCCAGGAGCAATGTGCAGGCCTCCCAAACCCTCTGCACGTCCATTTTTGCAAAGGGGGCGGGGTTTCGGTAGGCCAAAAATGCTGTATTCGGTGTATAAGATGCACCCAGATTCTCACCATCTTTTCTGGAGGAAAAAGGTGCATCTTATACTCTGGAAAATACGCTAACCAACACTGCCTAAGCATGCACACCCAAAGATCAGCCATTTTAAACCGAGTAATGCTGAAAAAAAGCTGGTTATATATTTGGGTCTCTGCATGCTTCAAGACAGAGTCTACGCAGCTCGCACGGGTGGTCCTCAACTTATGGCCACACCTGAGCCCAAAATGTTATGTTACTGAGATATGTTAAGTGAGTTTGGCCCCCATTTTAGGACTTTCCTTGCCACATTTTGTTAAGTGAATCGCTGCAGCTGTTAAATTAGCAGCAAGGTTGTTAAGTGAATCAGATTTCTCCATTGACCCATGGGAGTACTGCAACATAAGGATAAAAAGCGGTCATTGAAACAATCTGTTGTAAGTTGAGGACTACCTGTATAGCAGTGTTTCTCAACCTTGGCGACTTTAAGTCCTGTGGACTTCAACTCCCAGAATCGCCCAGCCAGCTGTATAGCAATAACACTTAGACTTATACACCGCTTCACAGTCCTTTCCCAGCCCTCTCTAAGAGGTTTACAGAGTCGGCCTCTTGCCCCCAAACAATCTGGGTTCTCATTTTCATCCAACTCAGAAGGATGGAAGGCTGAGTCAACCTTGAGCCTGGTGAGATTTGAACTGCTGGCAGTTGGCAGAATTAGTCTGCAATACTGCATTCTAACTACTGGGCAGGCAGGCAGGCAGGCAGGCAGGCAGGCAGGCAGGAAGGAAGGAAGGCTGAGTCAACCTTGAGCCTGGTGAGAATTGAACTCCTGGTATACGGGCAGAGTTAGACTGCAGTACTGCACTCTTAAGCACTGCACCATCTCCGGCCATATGAGCCCAATTGTTATTTATTTAAAATTGATATATTCATAAGGCAACTGCTTTAGATCCATTCCCAGGCATGTTTTTCGCACTCAAATAGCAACCTGCCATATGATGCAGCTGCTTTAATGAGCAGTCCGGTTCCCCCCACCATAGAGTCTCCTCCTAGCTCAGTGTCCTTTTTCCTCTACCTGTCCTTACCAAAAGCCCTGTCAATTGTGGAGTTGACTGGCGACAGGGAACTGCAGCAGAGGGATGAAAGAGCCACATGCGGCTCCAGAGCTGCAAGTTGCCAACCCTTGTCTTAAACAGAAGTCATCAAGTTAACTTCAACAACGTATGAATCAACTCACTTTTCTTTGTTCTGGTTCGGGCAGCTCCCAAACGAGCAACAGAGAGAAGCTGTATTGCTCTACCAAACTGGTCCTCAGCCAAACCTCAAGATGGAAATGAGCAGAAAAGGCGTCTGATAGAAGTGCTAAAAAGATGTAAGGACATGCTAGTAGATTCTTACTTTTGTACTTGCCCGGCAGGACATTTTCAAAGGTAAAAGCCAAGGAGGTTGACTTGGCGGCAAGTTGGAGGCTTCGTTTTTCTCCCGGCCGAAGGATGGACTGAAGTATCACCATCAATTCCCCACAACCATCTGCGGGAAAGAGAAATGAGGAATGAGAACAGATGAACCACGCAACAGTGAGCTAGGTGAATTCAGTCACCTCCTCTGGACTTCTGGCTATTTTGGGATTCCAACTTCTCAGACCATCAGAAGGTGAACACCAAGATAGTGAACTGCCCAATGCAACAGAAGCCAAGATAGGAATAGGAGTAGAGTAGAATAGAGTAAGAGTAAGAGTAGAGTAGAGAAGAGAAGAGTAGAGTAGAGTAGTGTAGAATAGGAATAGAGTAGAATAGAGATAGGAATAGGAGTAGAGTAGAATAGAATAGAGTAGAATAGAACAGAATTAAGAGTAGAATAGAACAAATATGAATAGAATAGAAATAATAGAGTAGAGTAAGTAGAATTAAGAGTAGAATAGAACAGAAATATGAATAGAAATAATAGAGTAGAGTAAGTAGAATTAAGAGTAGAATAGAACAGAAATGATAGAATAGAATAGAATTAAGAGTAGAATAGGATAGTAATAAGAATAGAATAAAGAATAGAGTAGAGTAGAGTAGAGTAGAGTAGAGTAGAGTAGAATAGAATAGAATA